ATATCACAAATATTTTTCAGATAAATAAGCTTTTTTCCCAGAATGAATGTTTGTCACTTAGTTTGGTTACAATAATTAATAAACATAGATCAACTCTCAAATTTATTGATTATTATTATACATAAACATACAATTCCAAAAAAAAACACCAACAGCAACAACAACATATAGCATGTTTCATTTTATCTATATGAGATAAAAACAATAAATATTTACAATAATTGAGAAAAAGGTACATTTTTATGGTATTAATATGACACTATCAACTTTGAAACATTTTATCTAATTTGTTATTCGTGTTAAGTAAAGATGCCGAATTACAAATCAGATTTTATCAATTATTCAATTGATTGATAATTTAAAAAATGATAAAAAAAAATACAAATGTACATGGTTTAAGAATAAACAATATTATATATTGAAAGATTAAGCATAATTTACTGACTTTTTCCAGTTAAGTTTTGACTTATAATCGTCGGTCAATATGACAATTGAATTCTTAAAATTTATTTTACAATTTTAATAAAAAAAGAGTAGTAAACGTAAAAACTCAGTATTAAAATAGCACATAAAACACAAAAAAGAGAGGAAAACAATATTCATAAAATCTGTATTTTTTATATTAAAATAGATATTACAATTATTGTATAATAAACAATTATGCTCAACATGATCAACATGGTAATATAACCAGTGTCATATTTTTACTAAGTGTGAACAGATACCTTAAGAGGGGCTCTTCGCTAATAGCGATAACATAATAAGAGACAATTCCACAAGTGTGGTGTTGATCATGCGTTACACATGATTGTATACATGTATATCCGTTGCTATTAATAATCACGATCATAAAGAAATAACAAGTAATATTCTAATCTCTAGCATGCCAATCAAAGTTCATAATGAACAATGTCTTTCGTCCGTTCATTCTGGTAAAAACCAATTAACCATTGAAAAGTTTATCAGAATATCTTGTCATCATATGTCTACTAGTTCATCTTCACTTTCTGCATTTCTTGCTTGGACGCCCTTTGATGCTTTGCATCAATGCTTTTCTTGTTATCAAACTTTAATACAAATAATACAAATTAAACCATTGTACATTTCTGTCAATTTTGATACAAAATTTGCCACCTTTTGCTCATTTATGTACATGTTAACAGAATTTATATCAACCAAGTGTCCACTTTTTTGTTACTGATTATATATAAGATAATCTGAATAAGTGAGATACTGTTTGAACAACCACAACAAAAGAACAATAAATATAAGTATTCTCGGGTACAATATGCTAAAAGAATGAACAAAACGTTCATATGTTTCAATGGGTTTTGCGATCGTTTAACAATGATTGCCATTCTTGTCATTATATGTTACATTTTTTTCATCTATTTTCAGTGTCCAAGTTAAAGAACTTTTGTTATTTTACTAACTGGTCAAACAAGCTGGCGTCATTTGACGCCAGATTTGACATCCGGGACATCAATGTAACGCTGTGCTCACATCTTATCTATGCTTTCGCAAAAATTGACACATCAAATGTTAGACTTTCTGCGTCCCAAAATGACGACGACAATGGCCAACTTGTCAACAAGAAAGGAAGATATTTCGACTTTAATAAGCTGAAGATAGAACATCCGAACTTAGTGACACTTTTATCAATAGGCGGTGCTAGTGCCGGAAGTGGGGGATTTATATCAATTGTTCGTTCACCACAGACGATGCAATTATTCTCCAGAAATGTAGCGATATATCTGAGGGATCGTGATTTCGATGGTATCGATATCGATTGGGAGTGGCCGGACGATATATACCGACACAAATATACGCAATTGTTGAAGGTATTTTTGACTTGTTGTGTTTTTACTTTTAAATCTTTCTTTCACCCTTACTAATAAAAACAATGACTAGAAGCTTTCAAAGTCTCTCACTGTCCTGATCATGTTCATTTTCAGGTTTTTACTTTCTCTCACACCTTTTACTAACACACCCGACGCGCACAATTTCGAATCCTGCCTATAACACTCGCGAGAGGGGTTGGCAGTACTCAGAGATAGATAGATAGATATATTTAACGGGTTACACCGTTATGGCCTGCCTTGTCAAACTTATTTTAACGTCATACGAATCGATTATATTAACAGCCGATGTGATAGTAATTAATGTCGACAGTAAATAACACTATTGACCTTGATAACATGCTTTACTAAATACCACATTTATAAAATGGTATTTTACTCTAACGTTAGAGATATATCTAGAAATGTAAGCAGAGCATAGTTTAAATCTGCACATTTGTTTATCGATGAATTTACCATTATAACATATCACTAAACTTCCAATCAAAACATTGATGTTTATTTTTCATTGTAATCATGTTACCTATAATACATGAATCAAAACAGCAATACCGTACAAATGTCCTAAGATATCATAAGAGGTGGGGGGGGGGGAATCCGGGATCGCCTATAGAAAAGCCGGGACGCGGGATGGTATTAAACATATAGTAATCCCGGGAATTGACCACCTACTCTCGGTGTTTTAATAGTCAATAATAATAATAATAATAATATTATTATTATTATAATTTAAATGTTTTTGTAGAGATTTCCGAATCAGTTTGATTTGTAGTAGTTATAAAAAATCTTTAAAAATAATGTATTTTTTGACAGACAAAAGCGTTAATTAATTGACCTCACAATGTCACACACACAATATATAATTATTTAATATTGTAAGTACATGTTATGGCAATGGAAGTCGTTGTATATTGGGCATCAAGAGTGCTAATATGCAATAAGAAAAAGTAAACACAAGTTGTCAATCAATTCACCAAGAAAAGCCGGATCGTATCAAAAAATATAGGGATTCCGGAAATTGACCAGTCTAAGAAGATAATTTTTCAGATAAGCCGGGATCGTATTAAAACATAGGGATCCCGGGAATTAACCAGTTCAAGAATATAGTTTTCAGAAAAGCTGGGATTGTATTAAAACATATAGGGATCCCGGAAATTGGCCAGTTCAAGATTATAGTTTCAGAAAAGCCGGGATCGTATTAAAACATATAATATAGGGTTCCCGGGAATTGACCAGTTCAATAATTTAGTTTTCAGAAAAGCCGGGATCGTATTTAATTAGGCATTTATTTATAAGTATTGTGATTTCCGCATTTTAAGTTTGTTAATAAATAGCTCTTAATATATCCTAAGTTAAATTCATTTAATGTTCATTACATACAATAAAAAATTAACGTTAAATCCCCTTTTATTACGACAATAATCAACACAAATCTAGTTTATTAGTTTTCCCTCTATATCTAATACGATCCCGGATCCCGGGATTCCCCCCATCTCTATAATTGACGCCGCTTTTGACCAATTTAATTTTGTAAATGCTTAGTAATGAATACTAACACAGAAAAATAGTTTATCATCGTTAATCAAGTTTCAAAACAACCATTACAAAAATTAAATAAAATGTGTCCCAAGAATTGCCATGCAAATAGTGACTTAACTGGCCAATTTTGTGTCTGTTTACCTTATTAGCACGTATAAAGTTCAATTGAGAACACCGTCATTCTCGGTAAATGTTAAAGACTTGCAAGAAATTAAATAAATTCAAATGTACTATATCTGTATAATTATGCGATAATTGTCATGTTATGCGTTATTTTGTAAGTAACTCACCGCTCTACATATTTTCCCCTGCCTTTATTTGTAAAAATACATTGTCGTCTGGCATTTTTATCTTAATAGCCTAAAATAATTTTAATGCAGGCCCGAAGACTACGAAATATAACTGTAACATTCTTCCTTATTAAGACGAAACACTTGATAAAAAGTTATTTGATTTTTTAAATATTTTAGCCAAGACTTAATTAGAGTATCCATCTATCTTCCATGACTTTTGCAGCTATATTTAAAACCGATCTACATACTGTAATTTATATAAAATATAAAGTATGCTTTATTTGTCTGTTTTTAAATTCCTGTGTCGCATCGTTTGCATTTTAAGATACTAGTTTGATCGTGTGTAATGATACACTTTTTGATTGATTGAAAATCCACACTGGTTTTGTTTTTTCCTTTCTTGCAAATGATACCTGTCTCCAAAGAAGTGACAATTAAACAATTTATTTATTACATTACATGATTACTATTTGTCTGCATTTAAAGGGTGAAAAAAAAACCGAAGTAAAATGTACTCAAAAGACATACATGTATGATTGGTACCTTAACTTTGATTTTATATGTAAATATATTTACCTCATCGCTCATCGAAACACGGATATTTGCTTATGACAATATATATCATACATTATCCTTATTAAACCTTTTCACTGAACATAGAATTTGTACACACATTAATTTGCCTAGCACAAAAACTTGCCGATTGAAAGACAGCAAAGTGACATAACTGCCTGTGAAAGAACCTAGCTGACTAACCCTTATTTAAGGTTTTTTTAAGTTATTGGATTATTCTGCGAGACATTCCAGACTGAGATATGTCCTTGATTTTTCTTTTACATTAATTTTACACTATTTTAAAGAACCCTTGAAACGTTTTAAAAAAATGTACAATTTTAATAAAAAGCATTTTTCAAAAAATAAATATTTGTAATCAAAAGTATAAAAATCTGGGAAAAAAAAGTGATTTCCCCCCGGGAAACATTTTAATTTTACCCAAAAAAAATTTTCAAGAAGGGGAATTTTCGACTCGGTTTTTATTGATCTGTAAAAGGGGGAAAAATGAATTCGTGCAACATCCATCAGCCTTCCTTTGGGGAAAACCCGGGTTGGGCGGTAATTAGTAGTGGGTGGTAAACAAAGATCCCCATGGGCCAGAAAAAAATAAAAAACACTGAAATGAGGGAAAGGGGCCCAAATTTTAAAAACAAAGCAAAATAAGCCTTCTTTTCATAATTTGAAATAAATTTAATTTTTTTAAGATAATGGGCTTTTATTTTTAAAAGAAGGGACGTTTCCCCGAGTTTAAAAAACGGATTGCTCATCTCTATTGCTGTTGCTGTCGGAGAAGAAACTATTACAAATTCATACAACATTTCTTCAATATCCAGGTAACCGTCTGTATATTTTAATTTATTTTATAACCTTTTTAAGCTCACCAGAGCCGAAGGCTCAGAGTGAGCTATTAGTATCAAAGGGGAATGCTCCGGCGTCCGTCGTCCGTCGTCATGCGTCAACAATCGTCTTCTACTCTGAAACTACTGGGCAGATTTACTTCAAATTTGGTCTGTAGCATCCTTGTGACAGTCACACTTGAATTTGCTCATGTCATTCCAATTGGCCCCTTTTAGGGGTCAGCAGAGCTAAAAATAGAAAAACCTTTAAACATCTTCTACAGAACTATTTGATGGATGATCACCAAACTTTGTCTGTAGCATTCTTGGGTAGTCTTTTATCAAGTTTGCTCATATTAATTTGATTGGCCCCTTTTAGGGGTCTCTAGGGCTCAAAATAGAAATACCTTTAAACATCTTCTTCTACAGAACTAATGGATGGATGATCACCAAACTTTGTCTGTAGCATTCTTGGGTAGTGTTTTATCAAGTTTGCTCATATGAATTTGATTGGCCCCTTTTAGGGGCCGCTAAAGCTAAAAATAGAATAACCTTAAAACGTCTATTTCTACAGAACTAATTGATGGATAATCACCAAATTTTGTCTGTAGCATTCTTAGGTAGTCTTTTATCAAGTTTGCTAATATTATTCTGATTGGCCCCTTTTAGGGGTCTCTAAGGCTAAAAAAAGAAAAACCTTTAAACATCTTCTCCTACAGAACTAATTGATGGATGATCACCAAACTTTGTCTGTAGCATTCTTGGATAGTGTTTTATCAAGTTTGCTCATATTATTTTGATTCGCCCCTTTTAGGGGCCGCTAAAGCTAAAAATAGAAATACTGTTAATTGTCTATCTCTAGAGAACTAGTTGATGGATGATCACCAAACTTTGTCTGTAGCATTTTTAAGTAGTCTTTTATCAAGTTTGCTAATATTATTTTGATTGGCCCCTTTTAGGGGCCGCAAAAGCTAAAAATAGAAATGCCTTTAAATGTCTATTTCTACAGAACTAATTGATGGATGATCACCAAATTTTGTCGACAGCATTCTCGGGTAGTGTTTTATCAAGTTTGCTCATATTAATTTGATTGGCCCCTTTTAGGGGCCTCTAAAGCTAAAAATAGAAATAAAGTTAAATGTCTATTTCTAGAGAACTAATTGATGGATAATCACCAAACTTTGTCTGTAGCATTTTTGGGTAGTCTTTTATCGAGTTTGCCAATATTATTTTGATTGGCCCCTTTTAGGAGCCGAAGGCTAAAAATAGAAATACCTTTAAATGTCTATTTCTACAGAACTAATTGATGGATAATCATCAAACTTTGTCTGTAGCATTCTTAGGTAGTCTTTTTATCAAGTTTGCTAATATTATTTTGATTGGCCCCTTTTAGGGGTCTCTAGGGCTAAAAATAGAAAAACCTTTAAACATCTTCTCCTACAGAACTAATTGATGGATGATCACCAAACTTTGTCTGTAGCATTCTTGGGTAGTGTTTTATCAAGTTTGCTCATATTATTTTGATTCGCCCCTTTTAGGGGCCGCTAAAGCTAAAAATAGAAATACTGTTAATTGTCTATTTCTAGAGAACTAATTGATGGATGATCACCAAACTTTGTCTGTAGCATTTTTGGGTAGTCTTTTATCAAGTTTGCTAATATTATTATACCCCCGCACAACAAAGTTGTAAGGGGGGTATACTGGAATCAGATTGTCCGTCCGGCCGTCCGGCCGTCTGGCTGTCCGGCGTCCGTCGGTTTTTTCTTGTCCGCCCAATAACTTAAGATTCCTTTGACCCACAGTCTTCATATTTGGCATGGAGGTTAGTCGTGATAAGTAGATGACCCCTAGTGATTTTGAGGTCACCAGGTCAAAGGTCAAGGTCACAGGGGCCTTGACTTCAAAAAGCTTGTCCGCCCAATAACTTAAGATTCCTTTGACCCACAGTCTTCATATTTGGCATGGAGGTTAGTCATGATAAGTAGATGACCCCTATTGACTTTGAGGTCACCAGGTCAAAGGTCAAGGTCACAGGGGCCTTGACTTCAAAAAAGCTTGTCCGCCCAATAACTTAAGATTCCTTTGACCCACAGTCTTCATATTTGGCATGGAGGTTAGTCATGATAAGTAGATGACCCCTATTGATTTTGAGGTCACCAGGTCAAAGGTCAAGGTCACAGGGGCCTTGACTTCAAAAAGCTTGTCCGCCCAATAACTTAAGATTCCTTTGACCCACAGTCTTCATATTTGGCATGGAGGTAAGTCATGATAAGTAGATGACCCCTATTGATTTTGAGGTCACCAGGTCAAAGGTCAAGGTCACAGGGGCCTTGACTTCAAAAAGCTTGTCCGCCCAATAACTTAAGATTCCTTTGACCCACAGTCTTCATATTTGGCATGGAGGTTAGTCATGATAAGTAGATGACCCCTATTGATTTTGAGGTCACCAGGTCAAAGGTCAAGGTCACAGGGGCCTTGACTTCAAAAAGCTTGTCCGCCCAATAACTTAAGATTCCTTTGACCAACAGTCTTCATATTTGGCATGGAGGTTAGTCATGATTAGTAGATGACCCCTATCGATTTTGAGGTCACCAGGTCAAAGGTCAAGGTCACAGGGGCCTTGACTTCAAAAAGCTTGTCCGCCCAATAACTTAAGATTCCTTTGACCCACAGTCTTCATATTTGGCATGGAGGTTAGTAATGATAAGTAGATGACCCCTATCGATTTTGAGGTCACCAGGTCAAAGGTCAAGGTCACAGGGGCCTTGACTTCAAAAAGCTTGTCCGCCCAATAACTTAAGATTCCTTTGACCCACAGTCTTCATATTTGGCATGGAGGTTAGTCATGATAAGTAGATGACCCCTATTGATTTTGAGGTCACCAGGTAAAAGGTCAAGGTCACAGGGGCCTTGACTTCAAAAAGCTTGTCCGCCCAATAACTTAAGATTCCTTTGACCCACAGTCTTCATATTTGGCATGGAGGTTAGTCATGATAAGTAGATGACCCCTATCGATTTTGAGGTCAAAGGTCAAGGTCACAGGGGCCTTGACTTCAAAAAGCTTGTCCGCCAATAACTTAAGATTCCTTTGACCCACAGTCTTCATATTTGGCATGGAGGTTAGTCATGATTAGTAGATGACCCCTATCGATTTTGAGGTCACCCAGGTCAAAGGTCAAGGTCACAGGGGCCTTGACTTCAAAAAGCTTGTCCGCCCAATAACTTAAGATTCCTTTGACCCACAGTCTTCATATTTGGCATGGAGGTTAGTAATGATAAGTAGATGACCCCTATCGATTTTGAGGTCGCCAGGTCAAAGGTCAAAGGTCACAGGGGCCTTGACTTCAAAAAGCTTGTCCGCCCAATAACTTAAGATTTCTTTGACCCACAGTCTTCATATTTGGCATGAAGGTTAGTCGTGATTAGTAGATGACCCCTATTGATTTTGAGGTCACCAGGTCAAAGGTCAAGGTCACAGGGGCCTTGACTTCAAAAAGCTTGTCCGCCCAAAAACTTAAGGTTCCTATGACCCACAGTCTTCATATTTGGCATGGAGGTTAGTCATGATTAGTTAATGATCCGTATTGATTTTGAGGTCACTGGGTCAAAGGTCAAGGTCACAGGGACCTTGTCAAAATAAAGCTTTTCCCCAATGCCTGTCCAGAGTGTATTGATTTTGACATTTTCACATTTGAAGCATGTAGAATACATAACTTAGCAATGCACTGGCTTAGTCACCTCAGATTTGGCAGGGTGGTTGTCCTTGTGTTCTAAATGGCCACTGTTGATTCTGACAAAGTGGTATGCGGGGGTATTCACGCCATGATAGAGGCAGTTCTAGTTTTGATTGGCCCCTTTAAGGGACCGCAAAAGCTAAAAATAGAAATACCTTTAAATGTCTATTTCTACAGAACTAATTGATGGATGATCACCAAATTTTGTCGACAGCATTCTCGGGTAGTGTTTTATCAAGTTTGCTCATATTGATTTGATTGGCCCCTTGTAGGGGCCTCTAAAGCTAAAAATAGAAATAAAGTTAAATGTCTATTTCTAGAGAACTATTTGATGGATGATCACCAAACTTTGTCTGTAGCATTTTTAGGTAGTCTTTTATCGAGTTTGCCAATATTAGGTTGATTTGCCCCTTTTAGGGGCCGCAAAAGCTAAAAATAGAAATACCTTTAAATCCATTTCTACAGAACTAATTGATGGATGATACCAAACTTTGTCTGTAGCATTCTTGGGTAATCTTTTATCAAGTTTGCTCACATTAATTTGATTGGCCCCTTTTAAGGGTCTCTAGGGCTAAAAATAGAAAAACCTTTAAACATATCCTACTTCAGAATAAATTGATGGATGATCAACAAACTTGTCTGTAGCATTCTTGGGTACTCTTTTATCAAGTTTGCTTATATTAATTTGATTAGCCCCTTTTAGGGACCACTAAAGCTAAAAATAGAAAAAAAAACCTTCTAACATCATTTCCTACTGAAATAATTGATAGATGATCACCAAACTTTGTAGCATTCTTAGGTAGTCTTTTATCAAGTTTGCTAATATTAATTTAATTAGCCCTGTTTAAGTTAAAGCTTAAATGTCCCAGGTCATGGCATTTCTTCAAATTATTGTTTAAACATATTCTCAAGTTTAATATGAGAATATATTGACATTCCAACACTGAAAAGCAGTTGTTGCTGGTTAGCGACTCAGGGCCATCATGGCCCTCTTGTTTGACATTTTCGGTTTGTTTGTCGTTTTAAATTAAAGTTTTTTTCTTAACACTGCACCTACAGTTTATTCTGACAACAGGTACATGTACTCGTAAACATACACAATTTTGTTTTAGTGGCCAGAAATAAGCCAGTGTTTGGTATGAAGGGAGTTTTAATCTTCTGTTGGATGTCATTGATTAAAAGAAAAGGTTTACTGGTCACATAAACCCTTTGATAGTTTCCTACAGCTCATCTCGTTTCCATTTGAAATAAAATTGTTAAGTGGTTTAATTGTCTTCATGCAAGTTTTCTTTTATATTTAGGGATGTTGACTATATACAAATAATGGCGTATGATTTTCATGGACCCTGGAGTCATGTTACAAGTTTCTCTGCACCACTTTTTTCACGAATATCAAATCCCAGATTTAACACACAACTTAGTCAAGTAAGTTCTTATATTGCAGTTATAATTCAAGCACAGTGTCTGCTGCTTGCAAGTATTATGATATATTTTTTATGACCCACCAAGATTACTGATTCAAATACTTCAAATGTTTAGGTGCCGACACAAAAAAGAAAATATCTTAAATGATCATTCTTTGTCAAAATTTCTATCATCGACAACAACACAAATGTTTCTCTACAAATAAAACAACAATGTGGAGCAAGGCAACGATATACTAACCTGTTTGTTAGGACGGGGCATACACATTGTAGGTAGAGTCACGAACGTGGCATGGTTGTTGATTTATACAACCGTGTTGATGACGAAGTTGTACCTTTTAGCGATGAGTTTGATAAAATGGCAGCTTGATGTTGGCAGGGTGATGAAGTATTTTCGTTTCCCTAAGTTTACACACATATACTTATATCAAATATTCCATTAGGGATAAAGATGAATTAAGGTGGCATGTTATCTTGAAAAAATATAAGCAAGATTTATATATGATATTTTAGGCGTGGGCAGTAGACAGATGGATATCAGGAGGGGCTCCACGTAACAAGCTGATCATGGGTCTTACAAGCACGGCCACATCATTTACACTCAGTAATAGAACCCTAAATGATGTAGGATCCCCGGTGGATGGTCCAGGGAAAGCAGGGCCATACCTAGCCAATAAAGGACATGTGACCTATTATAGGGTATTAAAGTTCATCAGAAAACATGCATTTGTTGTTATTATTACTACAAATTGATGCAATTTGAAAGTTTTATTATGTTTTGATCTTGATATTCTCTTTCACGAAGGGAAAGTTTGTTTCAAATAACTTTATTGTTGTACAGAAATAGTTAAATTAAGCAATACATAGGGCATCTCTGATCTTTGTCTTCTAGAATCTAATAATAACTCTATACACTACTATACATTTTCTATTAATAAATCATTGGCAGCAATTATCAACGAACACAAAAAATGAAACGATATTCATAATTGCGGATATATCAAGACAATAACTAATTTAGAAACTAATGAACGAAACAATTCTTTACAAAGTTGTTGATAAAAGTATATAAATATCGTATCAGGCAGTCAATTCTTGCTAATGTCAAACATCAACCTTTTATACATTAAAGGTGTGTGAAATGATAAAGAATAATGCAATTCAGCGATGGGACTATGAACAAAAGATGGCATACGCATATTTAGATGACCAGTGGGTGGGGTATGGCAACCAAACAAGTATGAAAGAAAAAGTACGTATGATCGATACAGAAGATATAAATTATCGTGTTTGGAAGACAATTTAATAAATGTTTTATTGATAAACTCACTCAATTTGTCGTTCTGTCGTGTTGGTGCTGCGACATGGTGTATAGTATATAATTACATGACTGACAATCATTAAATAAACAGAGACGTAATGTTTGCTTAGCCTTGACTTATAAGTAACTTATGGATACATATAATTTATCGTCCCACAGTTAATTTAGTTGTATATGGTTATCAAAGACTACACAGATTTATTCATAGGTAAACGCATCTAAATACTTACAAGATTCTATTTATAATTGCCTCAAAAATAAACTATGACACTTGATTTCAGGTGAGGTTTGCTTACAGTCGAGGTATTGCCGGTGTCATGTTTTGGACACTTGACCAAGACGATTTTCTCGGACATTACTGCAATAAGGGAGAATACCCTCTTCTTACCGCAATATATAACGCTATAAATGAACTAGCACCAACACAGAGTCAATTTGTGGATGACGTCAGCACGAGTACCACACATTCTACAACGCCAATAGATTTCAGTCTTCATCATCGCACCAACAAAAACGGAATAAACTTTTATAAAATGGTTGACAATGGATCAGGGATTTTAGGATTCAGTCATGTGTTGCTATTATTTTGTTTAAAACTGTTTTTGTTGTCATGGTTAAATAAATAGACTGTCAGTCAAACAGCCAAATAAGGTATTCCGCTAGATATTTTCATATAGGTACTTATATCAGTTATTGATCATGTCAAAAACAAAAATGCTACCATTTAGCTGGTATATCTTGTAGATATAATGATGTATTCATTCTAAATTCTATTTTACATTACCAATTTTTGGTCAAAAAGTTTTATGTTTGTTTTCTCCGTCATATGACTAACTAGTATATGTTTATTTGACTATTTGAGCCGGGGGCTTTTTCATCTTTTCCTAACATAATTGTCTATGATGGAATTGTTAGAACGTGATAGAAGTAAGACATCATTGAATGCTGGATATTCTTATCTGATGTATATGCGTGAATGACGTTAAAAGTTTGATCTTTGTAGTTCAGGTTCATTCTGCTTTAAATAATTCTGCTTTAATTGTTATTTTTAGACTTGAGTGAATGCTAGTGAGTTTTAAAGTTTCTATTCATTGTACCCTGAGAATTTCATTGAATTCAAAGAGACATTGCATTACTATAAGTTATTAATTTTAAGAAAAATAAAAAATATATATGGTATATAATATAAAAGCATTGTATATTGAGAGTGTGCTTATTACTGGTAAATGATAACGTAAACACGTAAAGTAACACAAATTTATACTGTTTTTTTAATAACATTTATTTATAAAAATCCTTTTACAATTATTTATAGTATAAATTCGAATTATATAAGTCAATCCTGTGCTGAAGATAATTTTGCGTACCTTGGTTTAATATGATAAAAGGATTACATTTTATCCATATTATGATAATTTCCTTATTAACTTAAACTGACTTATCATACTAGAACATACAAATAATATACAACATAATAACACGTGGTAAAATTGTGGACAAGTTACTGTTACATATATTACAATTATTTATCATGATACATTGTAAGTAAGACGACTATTTAGTGTTGACGTTTTATCAGAGTAAATGATTGATTGGGTTGTACGTCACATCGACACAGTATAGGTCATATCGCGACGTTCCAGCTTTACTGGTGGAGGAAGACCTCAGGTGCCCCTCCGTGCATTATTTTCAGGCACGAGCGGGCACCTGAGTAGAACCACCGACGTTCCGTATCAGAGTAAAAACATAGGCAGTAAATCATCATTTTATATTGAATTCAGAATGTTTCATTGTCTTGTATAATACTGGAATGGTCGATCTCCTTATTAAAAGTATCATGCTTTACGATTTTGACCGGATCCACCAGCTTATCATATGTCATAATGCTTAATGTATCACTTCTTAATATATCAAAAATACAGTTTATTCTTCTTTAAAAAAAAAACAACAACAAAACACAATTGACAAAAAAGACAATGTCTCTATGGCATTTGACTGATACAGTAGGACGACCTCCAACATATCGGCCAGTCAATATAGAACCGTTCATATTTTGTAAAATATAACAATGTAGAATTCGAAATTATTTTCTTGAACGTTGAGTCAGTTGTTATTATATACATTCATCTATGTTACTATATTTGTATTTCAAAAGCACCTTATGTCATGTCACTTGAACGTTATTTAATAGATCAAATAAGGGAATCCTTAACAAATGACATAAAGGACAATGCTGTAAATTTTTCAGGCTCCCATGGATTGAGCCTATTCGAGAGCGAAAGTTGCTAATGCAAGATACCGCTCAATCAGAATTCGACATTTACACATGATAATTATAAACATCCGCAGATTTTTTTTAAAATGCACTTAAAATGCTTATGAAATATACAAAACCAGCTCTGTTCTTCTGATTCAAAACAATTTCAGAAAATCTTTTTGAAAATGGGCAATTAGTCATTTATCTATTTAATATCTTACAGTTATTATACTAATGAATATTTTACCACGGACATTTAACACTTCATTTAACTTGAAAGCAATGAAGCTCATTTCCAACCGCTGCGATCAGTTTACATTTTTTTCTATCAAAACACACAGCTCTCGGATTCTTTAACTTATACTCGTCTGAGATAATTTTTCCGAGTAACTTCCCATCAGGTGAAAGCTGCACAACATTATGTGAAGAAAAACCACTCACAATCACATTTCCAGTACCGTCTGTACAAATTCCCCAGGGACTTTTAAGCTCCTGTCCGTTATATTTCCACAACACGGTGCCATCTCTATCTATAGTTATTACACCTCTGTGAGCATCAACTATGTGTATCATTTTCCCATCATCACTCACGCATAGCTCACGTACACGTCCAAACATTTTGTTCCCTGTCTTTTCTGTCTTAATAACTTTTAAACATTGTCTATTCATCGTATAGATATAAACCTGGTCATTATCATTCCCAATCACCAATCGTCCGTCAATAACAGCTAAGCCTCTACACTCGTGATCAAATTTCAGAGAACGCGTTTTGGTGAGATGATTCTCTGTTGCAACAAACTGCACTGTTTTAATAATACTAAGGCTTACTGCAGCTTCTGAATTACTTATTTTGCAAACAGATGAAGGGCTACCAGACATTTCCAATGAATCTTTAACTTTGAAGTTCCCACTATCAACTAACTTCAAGTTTGTGTTTGATAGATCTGTAATCAAAATATTGCCCTTGTCAAGCACGCAGCTCGACCAAATGCTACATTCAAGTTCATCATCAATCATTTTCACATTCACGGTTGTTCTGTTTGAAATTTTGTAAAGTTCATGCTTCATGGTTGCACATTTTGCCAACATGTCTAGTTTCTTTAAGAAATGTGATATTTCTAAGTTCCTTTCCAAAGTGAGTCTTAACCTTCCTTGATTTGGTAATAGGGTTATATCTTTAACACTGTCTGATAATAAACACCTAGACATCTTTACGTTAACAAAGGTTTGAGACTGATTATTCTGTGACGTTACTATATCAGCTTTTCGGGAAGCAAGTTTTTCTATGCATTCCTGCATCTGAGTTACACTTTTGCGGTAATCTTCATCTAGCTTTCTAAACGTCACATCAAGTTCAGTGATAGAGGCCTGTTCAAGTTTGTCTAAAATTTCGTTTAACTTTTTCCTATACTGTTTTATATCTTCTAGATGTGTTTCTCTAGCTTTCTTATTATTTTCAATTTCTTGCTGTTTCTTCTCTAAGACAAAACCAATTTCATTAATTGCTCTTTCCAATTCTGCCTCTATTCTGCTACCATCATCTGTCAGATTGTTTGTCTGGATATATTCAGGAATGTAGTGGATATCCTGGCATAACCTGTATTTCAAATAACAGTATGATAAATTATTACAAATGTAAAATTACGATTGTGTTCCCGAAAGTAGCTCATTACCATATATACAGTATTCAAAGTACTGCAATTATAAGTTAAAATAAAAATGTTATTACCACAAAAACAGTTATTTTAAGTACTGCATTTACATCTATAATAAAAATGTTATCACTTGTTTAAAACAAGACAGAGGACAGCGCACCCAACTTTTCACAATGCTGGATAGTGCATAAAAGCAACATAGAAACGAGAACATATAATACTTTACAAACGTGCTTTATCAGACTTACGTGCACATGATAGTCAACAAATACTTATAATAATAATAATAATAATAATAATAATAATAATAATAATAAAGACTTTATTTAACGAGAGAACTCATTTGAACAAACATATCAATCTTCCATGAGACCCTCAACAAGGAACAATATAAATTTAACATATTCAAACTAGTAAAATACATAAATGTAAATACATTCAGGAGATTATCAATTTGAATACACCATGCAGTGTGTGATAATATCTCAAGTATAAGGTTTTAAAATGGTTAACAGATGTAGCAGACTTAATATAACCAGGAAGGCCGTTCCAAATACAAGATTCAGAATAATCAAAAGACTTACGAACTTGTTCAATATTTGGTCTAGGGGTATAAAGTTAAAAATCAGAACGCAAAATGCAAGTATGAACATCTGACGATAAAATGAAATTATTCAATGAATAGGAAGACGCCTTATTATTCTTTATTTTAAACATCATAATAGCTTTTTGAAAAACAACCCTCTAAGAAAAGGTATACATTTGTAGGCAGGGGGGGGGGGGATTCTGAAAGCCAATTTTGCTTTTTCCTTACTATTTTGCTTGTTTGGCTTAGAATAGATGCCTTTTTCTTAAAAAACCCGTTTAAGGTATTCACTTTAAACTTACTCCACCTACAAATGTATTTTAAATTTGAAAGTAAACAAGTACTCAAAGTTTTTAGAAGTGAATACCTTTGATGCTTTTTGAGGAATGTAAAAAGTTAATCAAGAAAGTCAGAAGGGGGGAATAAATGAGATAACCGAAAAAAAAATAAATTAAAAATTATAGCATTCCAATTTAAAAACTGAAAAAGAATTCCAAGTTTGAAGTAATTAACTATGGCAGTTTTTATAGAAATTGACACAAGACTTTAAAAAAATATGTCAAAAAGGGGACATAGCTTTGCAAAAATGAATTTCATGTTTATCAGTCCTTCTGAAATGGTGTCATATTTTGATAATGTACATGTATATCAAGTTTAAAAGTGAATTACTTTGATAGTTACTGAGAAATGAATCTTAACAAAAAAGTTAAAAAGGGTTAAAAGGGGGCATATGTTTGAAAAAAATCTAATATTAAAAACTGTGCATAGGTTTGCAAAAAAAAGGTTATCTTATGTTGTATACAGAGGATATTAAAGAAGTGTAGATTTAATACTTTATTGAACAAGTTGGGAAAAAACATATTAAGCTAGCCTTTGACTTTCACCTGTTCACTCACTAAAGACCGTTGGACTGGCTTAATGTCGCTTTAAATAATGGTAACCAATGTTTTTGATTTGGAGCACATTTGGTTGACAAGAAAAGTTGAAATACATCTATCACTCATGTACATTTAAATGTCTGTGTGAACAGTCTAGTTGTACATCAAAAGTTCACACCTACCAACATATTTGGGGAGGTTGGAGAGGAGGGGAGTGGGATTGGGCTCAAGAGCTCTGACATTCCTTGACGTTCAGGTTTGGTAATTGGTGCCAACGATTGCCAATATATTCTTCTATTAGAACGTGTAAATTGAACTCACATAAAGTATCATGAAAAACTTAAACAACATTTACCCCCCCCCCCCCCGAAAAAATGATAATAATATAATATCTTATAAAAAAAACAAACAAAAAACGCAACAACAACACAAAACCGAATCACCAAACTATGAAATCGTTCACCTAAAGTAGTCACAATATGCTAAAGAACAAAGTAGATATCTTAAATTACATATTTTTGTTTAGGGTAAGTATTAAGATTCGCAGTTTAAAAAACGTATTTAAAATGAACCAGATGGATTAAAAAATAATATGAAGTATTTTTTATTTGCGTCATTTTCATTTTCATCCGGATATCACAACAATAAATAAACGGAACACAAACGAATGATTTTTTAATAGCAACATGTGCATGATTTGCTTCAATTTTTATTCTTCATCAAGTCAACGTACGGACTCTATCTTTATTGTACTCTATGTACATTTATTTCTAATTGATATCGCACTTTACTAAAACTTACACATTTACAACTTGGTTATGAATAACTTTATGAATAACAATCGCGATGTTTCAATTGCTAGAACTAATTGGGGCAAAATCAAAAAGTTTTTAATCGACTACCCTTCGTGACCGACTACCCGCCGTGATTTTAATAAAAATTATATAATATAATTTTAACACACGCACGAACGCACACACACAGGCGCGTGCGCGCACACACACGCGCGCGCACGCACCAACGCACACACAAACATACACACACACACACACACTAATCAAATCAATATTAAAATTTTGCTTAAACTTTAAAAAAAATCTTCAACTGTGTATATAAATTACTACTTTATATGAAGAACTACAGTTTGATTTGATTTATATTCGGTTTAAACCCACTATGGTTTATCTTTATTGCACTGTATATGCAATATCTCAGTAATAGAAAGAGCATCGAAACACGAGGCTACTAGTATCTGATTTGTACGAGGGGGCGTAGCCCCCGAGTATTAATCAGATTGCCGAGTGTTTTGGTGTTCTTTTTCTTTTGTATCATAGTCAAACATAAAAGCACGTTCCCTGTTGTCACAATATGAAACCCCGGCAAAAATGAACCAATGAACAAACATCTGAATATGACATTTCTGTCGCTTTCCCTTTCTCTGCCGTCACAATATGTAAACCCCAGCAAAAATGAGCCAATCAATGGGCATGCTCTGGAGTGCGGGTAACTAATACCCGCACTCCAGTTAACGCACTGTGCATGTATATGTATACGATTTATCCCTGACACATTTTCAACAAAAAGGTCCCCAAACTATGATACAATTTATTTTATATCTCTTCCATAAACATGTGTACGAAAGCCTAATAGTGTCAAATGAAATAAAAAATAAAAATGCAATGGCGTTATAACGCGAATAAAGGCATTTTTACGCGAATCAAAAGGCGTAAGAACGCGAATAAAGGCGTAGCAACGCAAATCAAAAGGCGTAAGAACGCAAATAAAGGCGTAGCAACGCGAATCAAAAGGCGTAATAACGCGAATAAAGGCGTTATTACGCGAATCAAAAGGCGTAGTAACGCCTTTATTCGCGTTATAACGCGAATCAAAAGGCGTAGTAATGCGAATAAAGGCGTTATAACGCGAATAAAAAGGCGTTATAACGCGAATAAAGGCGTAATAACGCGAATCAAAAGGCGTAATAACGCGAATAAAGGCGTAATAACGCGAATCAAAAGGCGTAATAACGCGAATAAAGGCGTTATTACGCGAATCAAAAGGCGTATTAACGCCTTTATTCGCGTTATAACGCGAATCAAAAGGCGTAGTAACGCGAATAAAGGCGTTATAACGCGAATAAAAAGGCGTAATAGTACGCCTTTTGATTCGCGTAATTACGCCTATTGTTTCGCGTTATTACGCGAATAAAGGCGTTAATACGCTTTTCAATTCGCGTTATTACGCCTTCTGGTTCGCGTTACTACGCCTTTATTCGCGTTATAACGCCTTTGTTTCGCGTTATAACGCCTTTATTCGCGTTGCTATGCCTTTTTTCGCGTAATTACGCCTTTTGATTCGCGTTATTACGCCTTTTGATTCGCGTTATTACGCCTTTTGATTCGCGTTATAACGCCTTTATTCGCGTTGCTATGCCTTTTTTCACGTAATTACGCCTTTTGATTCGCGTTATTACGCCTTTTGATTCGCGTTATTACGCCTTTTGATTCGCGTTATAACGCCTTTATTCGCGTTGCTACGCCTTTTTTCGCGTAATTACGCCTTTTGATTTGCGTAATAACGCCTTTATTCGCGTTGTTACGCCTTTTTTCGCGTTGCTACGCCTTTGGATTCGCGTTGCTACGCCTTTTGGTTTGCGTTACTACGCCTTTATTCGCGTTATAACGCCTTTATTCGCGTTGCTACGCCTTTTTTCGCGTAATTACGCCTTTTGATTCGCGTTATTACGCCTTTTGATTCGAGTAATTACGCCTTTTGATTCGCGTTGCTACGCCTTTTGATTCGCGTTATAACGCCTTTATTCACGTTGCTACGCCTTTTTTCGCGTTGCTACGCCTTTCGATTCGCGTTGCTACGCCTTTTGGTTCGCGTTACTACGCCTTTATTCGCGTAATAACGCCTTTGTTTCGCGTTATAACGCCTTTATTCGCGTTGCTACGCCTTTTTTCGCGTAATTACGCCTTTTGATTCGCGTAATTACGCCTTTTGATTCGCGTTATTACGCCTTTTGATTCGCGTTACTACGCCTTTATTCGCGTTATAACGCCTTTGTTTCGCGTTATAACGCCTTTATTCGCGTTGCTACGCCTTTTTTCGCGTAATTACGCCTTTTGATTCGCGTAATTACGCCTTTTGATTCGCGTTACTACGCCTTTATTCGCGTTATAACGCCTTTGCATTTTTATTTTTTATTTCATTTGACACTATTAGGCTTTCGTACATGTGTATATCTTAAGGAATGTTTCAAGATTACACATGTTTCGTCTTAAAAGCGAAAGTAGACTCACCTATGCGTGATCGTAAAGCATACATGACATCCGACGGCGTCGTGATCAGCACAGTACATGTCTACAAGTTTTAGAGAATGAAGCTTACATCTCTCTGTCGGCACCGACGGTAAATCTTTGCTACCTGATCCACTTTGACCAAACTTTGACTGTCCTACTAATGTATGACCAGCTAAAACAGAGAAACTGTTGTGATTGTCTACACAATTCTCACACAGATATTCCTGACAGTCAACACAGTATTTGACAGCCTCACTGTTCTTGTCTTTCTTGTTACATGGTGTGCATGAAAAGTCAAAAAGTTCATCTGAAGATCGAGGTGTACACCCTTCGGTCGCCATCTTAAAGATGAGACAACTTGTATTCAGCGCATTAATCTCCCTTGTATCACTGTACATGTTTTATCTGTGTAAAACGAAAATGAATTCATAAATCGATCATTCAAAGAAATTTGATATAAATATACAGTATACATACATAGATAAAAAATACAAGAAATTTTATTTTAAGTCGGTTTACATATTACAAGGAACAAAATAAATAAATAAATAAATTGACTTACTTAAAAAAAGTACATAAGAATTTATGATAGAACTAAACCTGTATGAAATAAAAAGACAAGAAAAAAGATAAAATAAATACAGGGTAACAAACAAAGATAACTAAAATTAAGTTGCATACACAGCCTTACGGTGTGAAAAATAAGGAGTTTTACTGTTTTAAGAACAAACATACAAGTCAGACAGTAAAGATACAACTAGCATAAAAATACAGGGTTTAAAGGAAAAATTACATCAAAGAATCATAGCGATAGAGATAATGATATTTTACATTTATCGGGATTTATGCTCGGTCAGGTTTTCTATAAACTTATTCTATTAATAAAGAATAAAACCTGTTATAAAATGATATAACAATAAAATATCATATAACAATACAAATCTCTTACAATAAAAATACATTTTGTACTCTCTCCGGATAAGAATAACAGGTAGATCTTCTTCATCTTCAGGAACAGAAATAAATAGAAGACGCTTTTTACAATGAAGGGTTCAACTTCTAACATGACCTTTTCGAGATTCAAGCTGTACGTTATATACAGGTTGACAAGGGAACGGTGTGTCATTGGTAACAAAATGATTATTCTCCCACTTCCAAAAAAGGAAGTAGACGGGCTCGAACCACATACCTTTTGCATGTGAACGCTGCACTTTACCGTTGACCTATTTAGCCTTGTTGTTTGCCCGTGATAAAAAGATACCTAACTAATTTTAATGCAATGTAATTAGCAATATCTACGGAAGCGCCCTGGTGCCAATTCATAATGTTCTATAAAAAAAAAATAAACTCCTACGTAGGAGATAAAAATCCTAATTAGGAGTTTGTATCCTACGTAGGACTTTTAAACTCCTATGTAGGAGTTTGTAAGTCCTACGTAGGACTTTATAACTCCTACGTAGGACTTTGTAAGTCCTACCTAGGACTTTAATTTATATCTCCCACGTAGGACTTTATAACTCCTACGTAGGACTTTGTTACTCCTACGTAGGACTTTATATAACTCCTACGTAGGAGATAAAAAAGCCTAATTAGGAGTTTATAACTCCTACGTAGGACTTTCTAACTCTTACGTAGGAGATAAAAAAGCCTAATTAGGACTTTATAACTCCTACGTTGGACTTTGTAACTCCTACGTAGGACTTTATAACTCCTACGTAGAATACATATCAAAGTACTGAAAGCACAGAGTTCGACGGACATGTATGCTAAAGTATAACTTAAGATAGCATATTATGTAGGAAAATAAATTATATGAGCCGCGCCATGACAAAACCAACATAGTGCATTTGCGACCAGCATGGATCCAGACCAGCCTGCGCATCTGCGCAGTCTGATCAGGATCCATGCTGTTCGCTTAAAACCCTATTACAAGTAGAGAAACTGATAGCGAATAGCATGGTCCCTGATCAGACTTTGCGGATGCGCAGGCTGGTCTGGATCCATGCTGGTCGCAAACCCACTATGTTGGTTTTGTCATGGCGCGACTCATATGTGTCAAGTTGTAATTGTGGCAAGCCGCTTTAGTAAATACCTTTAGTCTGTAGCCAGAGATGATTTTGTCATTCTCTGCATATATTAAACGATGATTCTGTATTATGTACGTTTAGTTATATTTATTATACACATGTACACATGTATGGGTTAAACTTTGTTCTAAGTAGGATATACAATGTAATTCATTGTTAAACATATGCATGCATAATGCTCCGCAAACCGTTATCTTCTTAAACTTTACGGAGCAGGAACAAAACACTTCACTACTCCCCCTGCCCCCTATAAGGATTTAATCATTTGAAACGGCCGAAAATGGATAAATTGCTCGTTTTGTTCAGGTAGTTCGTATGGAAAACGTAATCGTTTTTACATGTATATGCTTGTTGGCGAGTAAGATTTTTTCGAATAGCTGTAAAGCAATTTTTCGGGATACATCGCCAATGCTTACAGACACCTCACCCTAAGACACTGTACACTCTAGAAACCCGAGAAGTGTGGCGGCATGGCCGTGTGACTAGAAGCCTTATGATCGCTAGCCGCATGGGTTCAAACCCCGTTAGGCGCAAGCCGTTGTTTCCTTGAGCAAGAAACTTTACAATCATTGCTAAGTACGTACTGGTTGGTTCCAGGAACGGATTCGAAAGTGTGTATATAAGCTTATAGCTTCATACACAATCAAACTTAAATAAATTCTGTATGAACAAAGGTGAAATGTACGGAACCGTCCTGGTGCCAATTCATAATGTTCTATAAAAAAATAAACTCCTACGTAGGAGATAAAAAAGCCTAATTAGGAGTTTGTAACTCCTACGTAGGAGTTTGTAAATCCTACGTAGGACTTTTAAACTCCTACATAGGACTTTGTAAGTCCTACGTAGGACTTTTTAACTCCTACGTAGGAGATAAAAAAGCCTAATTAGGAGTTTGTATCTCCTACTCAGGACTTTTAAACTCGTACGTAGGACTTACAAAGTCCTACGTTGGAGTTTAAATGTCCTACGTAGGAGTAACAAACTCCTAATTAGGCTTTTTTATCTCCTACGTAGGAGTTTATTTTTTTATAGAACATTATGAATTGGCACCAGGACGCTTCCGTAGAAATGTCCTCTATATTTAAGATTTGAAATTTCGGCCGGGGGAGGGGGGGGGGGGGGGGGGGGTTAAGAGTCTTGTTCCTTCGCCGATATGCCGGTCCGGTATGTTGAGATTTGCAAAGCATTCTGTATGCATTTCTTATAAAGTCATAAAGTCCTACGTAGGAGATACAAACTCCTAATTAGGATTTTTTTTATCTCCTACGTAGGAGTTACAAACTCTTCCGTAGTTTACTGTGGTGCGGGGTTTATCAGGTGGTGGTACTGGGGCTGGAGGGGGGTAGGTTTCCGTGTCCATTACATACTTTAACAAATAAGTTAGTCTGTGCCGAAATTTCTCTATTTTATAATGATATTCTGTTGCTTGAAATAGTCACTCATCTTAATTCGGTATTAATTTAAATATCCTTTAGTTATCATAAACACAAAACTCAGTAAGTCCATTTTTTATATTTTTAATATAGTTTTCTTTTTTTTCTGTATATTCATATTTACAATAGCAGTTACAACCGGTTGTAATAACATCTCGTAGGTACATCAAAATGTACCGCAGAAAACTGCGGCACCAACACTTTAAACTTAAACCATTACATGCTGTCTGAATCCTTCTATATCAGAGAGTTCTGTCTCTTTTATTAATACAAAGATAATTGTAACAAAGGTTTCAATAATTAACCAAATAAAAAATGACCCTTAAACAGGAAAATATTAACCAATGAAAATACATTTTATGAATTATGAAATTATTGATTTGACCAATCAAAATGATTCGATCAAGACTAATGATAACGCTAGATGTCAAAAGTCTGCGGCCTGTTAATTCCTTACTTTAAGTCAAACAGATAATCAGATAAGAAAACTTTAAATCAATGTCGTAGATAAAATTAATGATAATAATCACGTTGTCATACATGTGACGTAAATAAACATAAATGTGTTAGACACGGAAATTGCAATAAACATGTCAGGGGTCTGGCTTATTGATAATTTATATATTTATGAATTTCAATAATTTAAAAACTTTTCATAACATAAACAAGAAAATATAATTAATTTACGAAAAGTATTTTGAAAGAATCAAATAAAAAAATACAGCATAACATTACTGTACGTTTAGGATAATTATTTATTGACGCGGTGGTCAAGTCCACTATAACTGTGTAAAACAGTTATCATATTGTGTTTGTAATCTCGAGTCAAACAGGCTTTTAATTTATCTCCAGTCTTGAATTACTTTATTGATATAAAAAGTTTAGATACAAATGAATGGTGGATATAATTCCTTCTATTCAAATATCTTTGTTTTAATGTATAGACACAATGCAACGTCCTCAGAGCAGTCCTTTGTAGAGTAACAAGACTATCTCATTACAACAGTTTTCAATTTTCCCTTCCAAATTTAGAGTTATCAATAATTGTTATCTCATTGAGTAACACCTCTCAGCAACAACAAAAATGTTTTTCTTTCAAAGATTGTTACTAACCAAATGTAATACTCTAATTACTAATGTTTATCATTGAAAATGTTATTTTTGACTTTGAATGTAATATAATGATTTTGTCAAGTAGAAAAATGCAGGTACAATATTAAGAATGCACATTATATTTAAGGTGCTTCAATGTGTGATAATGACCCAGTGACAAGAGACAAGTTGTGACAGTAAGTATCATTTTGTTAAGTATAATTCCCATTCTGTTATTAATCACTCTTTGATTAACTTGATTCTTGTGTAAGACTCACAGTCATTTTTCTGTTGTCAGGTTTTCTTGAAGTTTTTAGAGAACTTTGATAAGCACTATATCACAGCATTAAATTGAAGTACTTATACATTAAATAAAAAAAAATGATATAACTTATCCTCACTATAATTCTGTTAAGTTTGGAAGTAATCTAGATTGAAATATGTAATTAACTGTAATATGTAATTAACTGTAATATGTAATTAACTGTATTCACACTGACATCTGAGATAATTTGTATTTCTTATTTCAGACAAAACAGACATTGAAGTTTATTTACTAGTTAAAGAACAAACAGCTGTATAGAGGGATAACAGTAAATCTACAATCTGGACAGTATTGACAAATTGAAAAATAAATCAAAATTTCTATTTATTATAAACTTTAACTCAGAGGATCTTACATGAGTGTCTTTTTAAGGTCATTTTAATAAAAAAGTTGTTTTCAATTGCATTTGCACATTTACTTTGCATATAAATTTACTTCGCATTTTATGTCTTAAGACACAAGTGTTTTTGCATAGTTAATAAATACATGTATGTCAAGTTTAAACCTAGTACAGGGTATATAAGTTGTCTTTATTTAAAGCAGTGAAGATCAGTATGTACAATACATACTTTGATTGCAGAAGCCTTCCGCTAAATGTGATATTATATTTTATAGTCTTTATTATCAAGACAAAAAGTTCAATTTTTATCAAGCTTGAACACTTAACAACATAAATTTAATGTTGTTATTGGCATATAAAGTAGTAGTGACATGAAATACATTAGATAAGTATGTTTTTGGTATATGATACACTTTTGGGTTAAAATGCTTTCTACATGTAAATGTCCTGTGTTAGGACAGTTAATGGTACTTTATTATACATCTTTTTTAATATACTTTACTTTCTTTATACATGTCAGCTTCAAATTTCTTAAATATAAAACAGCAGTAGAAATGGCAACTAGTATTTTAGTCAGAACCTATGTTTATGAGTCATTTGTTTCACATTGATTAAGACAGAAAGTGTAAAAGAATTATTTCCCATTTTATTATACTTATCAGCACTTTTCTCCTAAACTGTAAGTGGTACCAGTAATTGTATTTTGTTGATTAGTATATGTATATTTAAATCCAAAGTTTCAGAATAAATTAGTTTAAATAATGAATTTCCAGACTTATGCTATTAAATTCTGTCATCTTCAATTTTTATTGATGAGTTATCTTCTTGTCATGCTCTGCCAACCCTCTACTTTAACAAAATGTATGTAAGCACATACATAATATTACAATATACATTTCAGAGGTAAAAATAGAACACCACTTTTTTATGAATATATCTGCAATGAAACATGCAGTAACTATATTGTTTGACCAGGAGATTGTAATCCACTGAAATGAAATGTTTACAAATAAATTTTAGAGGAAGATACATAAATTATGAAATTTGATTCAATTAACATAACTGCAAATTCATTGTCAGTTTTAAAAACCCTTTGACACACAGTATGGTATGGCAAATAAGGTTCAAAAGGAATTAGTTTGATATACAAAACAATGACGTTATGATCTTGCTGCACAAATTTTGAACTAAAACATGACTGGCATTACAAGGATTTTTATCATTATGATGTATGTACTACAACCCATAAAGGTGGCAATAAGAAACACGACGACCAACAGTTATAGAGCAATTAGTCTGACTTCATCAATACTTAAGTATATGAAAATAATTGTGCTTAGGGAATGTAAAAAACACATATTGATCTCCATTAGTTCTCAACAAGGTGGGTTTCAGGAGCACCTCGGCTGTTTAATGACATCTTTTTTCATTAAGGGAGTGCTTACATTTTGCACGTGAAAATCTTCATCGGTGTACATGTGTTTTCTAAGACTGCAGACAGGCTTTCGACCGCGTCTGGACAAATGGTTTTAATTTTATAAATTACTACATACTATATTTCTGACAACGGGGAACATATTAATACCAAACATTTTTAAAATCGTTTTATGATATGTATAAAAATGTATATAGTTATGTACAGTACAAAGGCACAGCTTCTAACTATTTCCCAATACTGCAAGGTACTCGACAGGGGAGGAATCAGTTCACCTTCAATGTATCTTGTCTTCATAATGGATTGATACGCGAGTTGGAAGACAGCGCGAATGGCGTTTGCATTTAGCAATTTAAATATTGTCGTGCCCCACCGTTGCCGATTTTGACATGGTACTGGTATCATTCTCGAGCGCTGGTCTAGATAACATGCTGAAGATTTGTAAAATTTACTCAAGAAAATGGCGCTTCCTATACAACCCTTCAAAAAGCGCTATTATAACATTTAACCCATCTATTCTAGTGCATGACTCGGTGATGTTTTCTCTTGGAAATGACGTCATACCTATTAACTTCACATATAAGCATTTAGGTGTTGAATGTGATCAGCATTTGTCAACGATGAAGTCAATGAAAGACGCATGCGTTAAGTTACGTGGTACGGCTACTAAGCATTTGTAACAGTGGATTGCATCCAGTTTCTATAAGTCACCTGCTACACCCGAAAAATATACATGACAGTTGTTGTACCTAAAGCGCTATATGGTTGTGCAAAAACTGGACCTGTTACTCAAATAAAGACCATATCCAATTTAGAATTAGCACACAACTTCTGTGTTAAATTTATACAAAATTTTCATAAATCTATTTTCCACAAAAGTTTGCATTATGTATGTTTGAATATACAAACATACTTACTATGATAAATTACAGGAAATTACAGTTATTTGGTCAATTATGCCGATTGCCATCTAAATATCTTGCTAAACAGATATTTGTTAATAGATTGATTAGATATGTGAGTGTGGATAGACAGAAACATGGATTTTATTCCAGACATATATAAGATTACTGCAGAAATATGATCTGTTGTACGCCATTTATACTTTTATTGATACCGGTGTGTTTTCCCATCTAAATTAAAATGGAAGAAGATTTTACAGATGAAGGTAATCAACGAATCAACAAAAGAGTTATTCTTAGAAACGTTTAACGCCACAAGTGCCAGCATTAACATTTTCTACTTCACCCTTACAAGATTTCCCCTCTGTGGGTTATTATTCGACAAAATCCGGGTCTAAAATGGTTGCTGAAATACTTGCCAAGACAGTTGGACACGGGATGTGTTTTTTCATATGTGCGTCGTTGTAACATTTGCAATCTGCTTACAAATGACATTACAGAACACCTTATGTGTTTTTGTCACAGGAAAGAGACTGAAAGACGTGCCTTCTGGAACGCTATTATATCAAAATTTAGGTTTTTGACCAATACAGCACATTTATTTTGCCATAACTACAAATATCATGTGAAATGTTTTTACATATCGCATGTAAAATTATTGATAATGTACTTGTCAACTTTCATATTGCTATCGCGCTTGCAAAACTTTTTATCTTCACGTTAAAAAAAAAAGAAGAAGCAGGCAATTTAATCGCTTTATATATATGTAGTATTTTGCTCAGACATAAACTGTATAGTTATTTTTTATTTAACCTGCATTGTTTTTTTTTTGTTTTTTTTTGTATGTTTTTAACTTGTTTTCAATAATTAAGATCATTGATTTGTTGAGGAATAATGCTTTATGACATCCGTCTATTGATAGTCATTTATAAAGCATGTACACAAAGACGGTACCTTCACTTTCTCTTAAATTTTCGTTTTTCGATTAAGATTCAGTTATTGGTACGGAACTTAGTAACTTTGTTTATTTTTGTCACTGAGGATGAATATAGCAAAGTTCATTTTTAAAACGAATGATATAAATCATAGTCTTAACTTTCGCTTTCGTTTAAGACAACAATTTACACTCATAAGTCATACGTTTACAATTGTAAAAGAATTTCATGTTATTGTATCTTTTATATTACAATGTTATGCATTTGTATATAATTCTCTTCTGTTGTATGTACATATATGTTGTATATACAGTATATATATACTTTGTAAATATGTTACGCTCTCCAATTTTGGGGGATAATAAAATATAAAATGTACTACATAGTCTGTTATACAAGGATTCCTCATGTTGGGTTGACAGGTCTCTTATGAGAAACAAAATATAATTATCACATGAAAAAAAAACTGTTTACAATTTAATCTAAATACGTTTATAAAAAAACCAGCAAAACATGGATCGTAATTTTAATCTGAAAATACATTAGTCATTACAAAAAGGGATTTATCTCATCTAAAAACTATTCAAGATAGATCTACATAAATAAAGTTAAGTGTCATCTTTTACACCTGTTTGACAAAGTCAGTGATAATTCTATCAGTATTTACTTTCCATCACAAAAAAACATTTTCTATCATTATAAAATGAACAATGAATCAGAATTGTTTTGTCATATTCAATAGATGTTAATTTCTGCATGTGACACAGACGTTTAAATTGCAATTATACGATTAGTGTCTTCATTATAACTGGTAACATTCCACAACAAAGTTGACCGATCAATGAGCATCACATTTTTGTACTTTAACATATTTTATACTAAGTATTTCATGAAATTCGAAAATCATTCTTAACTTAGGTAATTATCCTAATGTATAACAAAAGAACTCCATTCATAACATCATAATTGTAGTGTGGAATATACTATGTCTGATTTTAAATTGACAAATTTTAACCTATGAAGTGCAAAATGCAGCCTCCATCTATTGAACCTTAAAAGTGTACACCTTTACTAAGAAGACTAAAGAGTACTTACTAATGAAGCTTACATAGCTAATATGTTCTCGTTCATAAAAGATAGTTATACAAATCGTAGATGACTATTTCTAAGACACTCATTCTCAGATATCTATTTATACATGTATTATTGAATCGGGAAATGAATGAACACAAATATTGTCACTTATATATTTCATTCACACAACATGCTAGCCACTTTATTAGTGCAGACGTTTTACATCTCACTGAACTTCAAAGACGTGAAGTTCGTTACTTTCGCCCGCAATGATAAGCTTCCAGTGTTTTCTATCAAAGCAAATCGCTCTTAGACTTTTTAAGTTATGCACGTTTGAGACAATTTCTCCGAGCAACTTCCCATCAGGTCCTAGATAAACAACATTATCCGATGAATTACCACTAACAATCACATGCCCAGTACCATCTGTACAAACACCCCATGGGTTTATCAACTCTTTATTATCATACTGCCACAACAAGGTGCCGCCAATGTCTATTGTTATCACTCCCCGAAATTTATCAATAACGTGTATCATTTTCCCGTCATCGCTCACGCAAAGCTCGCGTATATATCTAAACAGTTTGTGCCCTGTTTGGTCCGTCTCAATGACTTTTAAACATTCTCCATTCATCGTATAGATATATACCTTGTCACCATCGTTGCCCATCACCAATTTACCATCAAGAACAGCTAAGCCTCTACACATGTGTTTGAATGTCAGTAAACGAGTTTTGGTTAAATGACTTCTCGTAGACACAATCTGCACTGTACTATTGTGTAGGCTTACGGCAGCTTCTACATTACTTAGTCTAGATACTGAATTAGGCGAAACGGACATATCTAATGAATCCTTAATTAGGTAGTTTTCATGATCAGCTAATTTTATATTTTTATTCTCAAAATCAGCAAATAAAATATCACCTGAATCAAGTAAACAACACGACCAAATATTACAAATCTTTTTATCACCAACTATGTTTATATTCATAGTGGTTCTATTACAAGTTTTGTAAATTTTATGCTTCATTGATGCAAAATGTGCTAGTGAGTCAATATTCTTCAAGAAATGAAATATTTCTAAGTTCCTTTCAAAAGTGAGTCCATGACCTCTTTCATTTGACATCACAATTATTTCTTTATTATTTTCGGATAACGTACACTCTGACAGTTTAACGTTAACAAATGTTTGAGAATCATTATTCTGTGACATTTTTATACCAGCTTTGCGGGAGGCAAGATTTCCTATTCTTTCTTGTATCATCTTTATACTTCTACGGTTATCTTCATCTAGCTTTCCAAACGTAACATCAAGTTCAGCGATAGAAGCCTGCTCAAGTCTGTCTAAAATTTCGTTTAGCTCTTGTCTGTACTGTTTTATGTCTTCCAGAAATGATGCCTTGGCATTCTTATTTTCCTTAATTTCCTGTTGTTTTTTCTTTAAGATAACTCCCATTTCAGTAATTGCCCTTTCCAATTCTGCATCTATTTTCCTTACATTATCAGTCAGAATATTCGTCTGGATATATTCAGGAATGTAGTGGATACCTTGGCATGACCTGAATTTGTAAAATAGCAATGATACAATGTAATTACTGTATAAAAACATTGTTTTCCTAATAGTAGCTCATTACCATGAGCTTTGATATGTTTTGTATAGTGGAGAGTTGTGATTAACTTTAGAATGAAAATTGAAAATATGAGTGCTGGAAAATACTCGTAGCTAACGATACATATTTATACATGTATATAAAAATGCTTTATACCGGTATATAAATTTGCTTTATAGATAAAAATGACATCATTATAGCGAAATTTGTGATGACGTCATGAAAACTAATTCAAAAATGGATCATGGCGTCAAAAGTCTGCAAAAACATATAGAATCTCTCGAAACAAAAATCTCTGACATGAGTTTAAACATGAAAACCAAGAGCGTTTAATTGACAATGGCGCAAATGAATGAAAACTTGATATTTGGTGAATTGCTGAAGCCAAAGATTTTCGTCAGAATGGTGAAAACTGTGAAAGATAATTCTGATTTCCTTAAAAAGGAATGGATGTTGACGAGAAATCGAGTTTGACCGAGCACATCGATTAGGAAGATACAGGTTTGACCCAAAGGTATCCTAGAGCTAATAGTTAAATTCTCAAACTACAAAGACAAAAGAATACATCAAAATGCTTGCAACCTGCAAAACTGATTGGAACAGAATTCTGGGTAAAATACAGTTTTTCCTAAATAGAAAATGCCAGGAAACCACTTCTCGAAATAGCGAAAATAGCGCGACAAAATGACAGTAATAGAGTAAAATTGTTTCGAGACAGACTATATATAAATGGCAAACGCGTGTACCCTGACCAGCGTGACCAATTTATCAAAACGAACCAACATGAGATGCGCAGATATAAAAGCCAGTACGCACCACAAACAGATAGACATAAACAGAATATAATAACTCAGACAAAAACAACAAATACACAGTCACAACGGAAAACAATTGACGATGACAAATTGATGCATGGCAGTAGACATAGGTCTCAAGAGTGTATAGCGCTTGAGAACAGATTTGGCCCCCTAACAAACAATGTTTCACAACAAGAAACACCAAACAGGCAAAACAACACAAATACTGGCAAACGGAACGCGAGATCACCGCTCGAAAACGAAATGACACTTAAAAAATATCGCGAGAACGATTTTGAAATTGACTTAGCTTCTATCCCATCAGACGATGAGTCATATCAAGAGACAGAAAGCGCGGACATTACCCGAAATAATAAAAGTAACAGTGAAGCCGGACAAAGATCAGACAGCGCACGAGAGATTCACGGGTTAACGGTGGCAGTAGCTAGAGAAAGCGGGGAATGGCTGTTGTTATCCAAACAATAGACGATCTCGAAATATAACTGTATTACCTAGTAATTTAAAGGTGTTAACCCTTAATGTTTGTGGGCTAGTTACAAAATTACGTTGTCCTGATTTTTTAGATTTTATTAATAAATATGATATTATTGGTTTCCAGGAAACAAAACTTGATGATACTGATAATATAAATGTACCAGGGTTTTCTGTATATTTACATAATAGAAAGAAATTATCTAGGTATAAATCTGGCGGACTCGCTTTATTTGTTAAAACTGAATATGTACCATATATAGTTGTCGATGAAGTAAGATCTAGCAATTTGATTTTATTTTTTAAGATTTTGGGAAAATGTTTTGAACAACCCGAAGTAGATATTAACTGTGGTGTTATATATATTCCGCCACATGGATCAAGGTACTCAAATGAAGATCCTTTTACTGAGTTACAAAATGAATTGTTTCGATATTGTTCAGATGATAAACATTTGCTGTTGTTCGGAGATTATAATGCGAGATGTAGCAATAGGGATGATTTTGTAAAGGTCGATAATTTTTTGTCTAATTTAGACCAATTTGACGAGTTATATAATGATGAAACACTTATTTTCCAAAATTTTGAATTATTTCAAGTTCCATTAAATAGAAAGTCAATTGATACTGTTGTAAGTGGTTATGGATATCAGATGTTAGATTTTAGTAAAGGAAATAATTTATTTATTTTAAATGGTCGAGTAGAGCCAGACTATACAAATCCTAAAACTACATGTAGAAACGCAAGTGTTGTGGATTATTTTTTATCGACCTCATATGTTTTTAAGTATATTGATGAATTAGAAGTGCATGAATTTTGTGATTTATTTTCTGATGTTCATTGTGCTGTGTCATTAACTCTCAAATGTAAAAAAGATGTACAAACTTATAGTACTTATCATACAAATAAATATGTAAAAGAAATAAATACTGATACTATTACAAAGCTTTGGGACTCTGAAAAATCAGAGGTGTTTACAAAAAACTTAGATATTTTGAAAATTGCAGAAATTGAAAATAGAATAGACAATTTAGCTTTTAATGAAAATTTATCGGTAAATGATTTAAACGAAATTGTTTCAGATATTGGAAAACTATTTGATGATAGCTCAAGAAAGTCTTTTGGAACAATGAAACCCAAAAGATATAAACATGTTAATAAAAATACCTACCCTTGGTTTGATACCTTTTGTTTAAATGCCAGAAATATTTATCACAAAACAAGAAAAGCGTACAATAGATACAAAACAGAACATTTTAGACAGCTTCTTAAAACAGTAAGTAAAAATTATAAAAAAGCAATGCATAACGCTCAGCCACGACATACTCATGAAAGAATTGAAAAATTAAAGTCATTAAAACAAATAACCCAAAAATGTACTGGAAAGTTATTAACCCTAAAGTAAAGGCGTCAGAAACAAATGCAAGTCTAGATGACTTCTTTGACTTTTTCCAAGAATTGAATTCTGATGATCTTGAAAATGGAAATGATTGTCCTGTCTTTGTCGAAAACAATGATATCTTAAATGAAGAAATTAACTCGAAAAGTACTGAAGCTGAAATCCGTAAAGCTGTTAAAACCCTTAAAAATAATAAAGCTCCAGGAAATGACAATATAATAAATGAACAGATAGTATCATCATCCAATACCATGATTTCATTATATTGTAAATTGTTTAATGTTATTTTTGACACTGGGTTAATTCCGGAATCATGGACTATTGGTGTAATAAAACCAATTTATAAAAATAAAGGTAATCCTTCTCTACCTGAAAATTACAGACCTATTTCACTTTTGAGCTGTTTTGGCAAACTTTTTACATGCATTTTGAATAACAGATTAAATATATATGCAGAAAAGGCAAAACTTATAAAAAACATCTCAGGCAGGTTTCAGAAAATCTTACTCAACTAGTGATAACTTATTTATACTCAAAAGCCTAATAGATATAGTGCAGTCTAATAGTAAGAAACTTTATTGCTGTTTTATAGATTTTAAACAAGCGTTTGACTCTGTTTGGAGAAACGGTCTATGGTATAAATTACGAAAAGAAAAAATTAATGGAAAATGTTTTAGTGTTATCTATAACTTGTATAGTAATATTAAGTCAAAAGTAGTAACAAGTGAAGGTTCTACTAACTTTTTTGATTGTAATGTTGGTGTTAGACAGAGCGAAAATTTGTCCCCGTTTTTATTTAGTATATTTTTAAATGACTTGGAAGACTATTTATGTGATAAAAATGTTAATGGATTTTGTAGAAATTGGAAGGTAGGAAATTTGCAAATGTACTTGAAAATATTTGTTCTTTTGTATGCAGATGATACTGTAATTTTTGCAGAAACTGAAAAAGATTTACAAAATGCATTAAATACTTTCAAAACATATTGTGATCAATGGAAATTAAAAATAAATGTTGATAAAACAAAAGTACTTATATTTAGTAAAGGTAACATAAGACGAAACTTGAAATTTTATATTGGCAATAACCAAGTAGAAATTATTAAAGAATACAAGTACCTTGGCATTTATTTTACTAAAAGCTGGTCGTTTATTTCAACGAAGAAACACATAGCAGATCAAGGAAATAAAGCATTGTTTTCACTTTTGAAAAAAATTAAACATTTAAATTTACCATACGAATTACAGATTGATCTTTTTGATAAACTGGTAAAGCCAGTTTTACTTTATGGATGTGAAATCTGGGGGTTTGGAAATGTTGATATCATTGAAAAATTACAATTAAAGTTTTACAAATATATTTTTAAACTTAAGAAATCAACACCTTCATACATGGTATATGGTGAACTTGGAATTTTTCCAGTTCGTATTGATATATACCAAAGAGTTATATCCTTTTGGACGAAACTAATAAATTGTTCGAGCGAAAATACCGACAAACTATCTGGTAAGGTTTACAGCATGTTATATGAAATGAATAATTTAAACAATGTTAAGTCCCAATGGATCGAAAATGTTAGAAATTTGTTATGTTCTTCAGGTTTTTCTGGAGTATGGTACTGTCAGAGTTTTTTAAATGAGAAATGGCTGATTGGGTCAATTTGCCGAAAGTTAAAAGATAATTTTATACAGAAATGGCGCTCTGATATACAATTAACATCAAACACGAATATTTACAAAGGTATTAAAACTGAGTTTGGTAGAAGTGCTTATATTAAGATTTTGTCATCTAGACGAAGCTTATCAATTATGCGTTTTTTTTACTAGAAATCATAGGCTACCTGTGGAAACAGGAAGATGGCAGGGTATACCTTCTTCTGAAAGAAAATGTTCCTTTTGTAATGATGATGTAGGTGACAAATTTCATTATTTGTTCAAATGTCAAAAGTTTTTTGAGGAAAGAAAAAAGTATTTAAAACGGTATTTTTATGTTAATCCCAATTTTTTTCAAATTAGAAGAATTGTTTAGTAGTGAAAATAAAAGTTTACTGAATAAACTTAGTATTTTTATCGAAATTTATATCTAAAAATTTGTAACACTGATATGCCTGGATTGCTTGTTTACTTGAAACATATATTTATTTGCTATATGTATGTTTATTTGTAATGTTACATGTATGATTTGGATATGTTTGTCATTCTCTATTTACATAGCACTTGTTAATATTTCGCCATTATTCACTGTAATTATTATAAAACGA